GATGTACACTGGTACAGATAGGAACTAGAAACACAGGGAATCCAGGGCAGATACTTTCAGGACCAGTAGTGAGAGTGGCTATACTGGGAGGGCAGAGGGAAGGTGGAGTGGAAAGTGGAAACCAATTACAAGGATCTATATATAACCTCCTCCCTGGGAGACGGACAACAGAAAAGTGGGTGAAGGGAGACGTCGGAGAGTGCAAGATATGACAAAATAATAATGTATAAATTATCAAGAGTTCATGAGGGAGAGGGGTGCAGGGAGGGAGGGGAAAAATGAGGAGCTGATGCCAGGAGCTTATGTGGAGAGCAATGTTTTGAGAATGATGAGGATAAAAAAAAAAGGATGAGGCTTTCTACTCTTATAAATATTTAGTCTCAGAAAACCAAAAGGGCAGAGTTCCACTCTGTCCCATGGGGTTGTGATGAGTTGGAATCAATTCGACGGCAGTGACTGCACAGTACCACCTTAAAAAGCTGGCCATCTTACCTCCAAAGAGAAAGTCATTGCTTCTTTAAAGTCAATTCTTCCTTTGCAAGTATGTTTGTTCTACTCTCCCTTTAGTACCTAAGCAATTATCTACCTACTTACAATGATCACACCCAATACTAAGATTTGATAGTCACAAAGAAGTGTTATGGAAGAAGGACACATAATTTTATTTGATATTTCAAATGATCAAATAATTTGATCATATATTTCTTTTGTGAATTTCATATTAAGAGAAATTGACCACATATATGGTCTCTTTGCAGTTTATGTGCTTCTATACCTAAAATCTCAGGTAGGTCTATATAAATCAAATTGCACAAGAAATTTTTAAGTGACAGAAAATTAACTTGCCTGTTTCAAAATTATCCTGAAGCTTTCGTGGGTGAAGTTTTTTTTCACATTTCTATTAAAAAACAAAACACAGCCACATACAAATTACAGTATCTTCAGTTACTTTACTTATTATATAGTATCAAAATTCTGAAGAAACCTAATGAATTATAATCATGCTCTTCATTTTCTCATTGATACCTTTACTGTATTTTTATCTATGTATTCCTAAAACCATTTTATAGTTCATAACATTAACAGTGTAGAAAAAACAAAATTAAATCTATCAACCAACAGGTGGCTGTTAACAGACTATGTATAACTTACACACTTTTTTACTACGAAGTCATTTTTTGTTGTAGTTGGATAACTTAATAAAATGATACATACATGAAACCAATTGTTTAAATATATGGTAACAATATTTCCTTTTGAATAAATATCAGGTCAATCTATTACATAGATTTATTATATGGTTTATAGTAGCATCTTAGACTTCGTTATTTACACTTTTTTCACTATTATAAAGAAGAAATAAAAATAAAGAAGAAGAAATAGGCTGTAATATAACTTAAAGAAATAATATGACGGACAACCGAAAAGTGGGTAAAGGGAGACGTCGGACAGGGCAAGATATGACAAAATAACAATTTATAAACTATCAAGGGCTCATGAGGGAGCAGGGAGCGGGGAGGGAGGGGAAAAATGAAGACCTAATCCCGGGGGCTTAAGTGGAGAGCAAATGTTTTGAGAATGATGAGGGCAATGAATGTACAAATGCTCTTTACACAATTGATGTGTGTATGGATTGTGATGAGTTGTATGAGCCCCTGAATAAAATGACTTAAAAAAAAAAAAAAGGAAATAATATACCTTGAAATTCACCTTCAAGGGAAACTAGGTACATATTTTTCCTGCTTGTGAGACAAACTGCTTTTTAAGAAAATTATCAATTAGCAGGCTTTACTTGTTCCCATTACACACACAGCAAAACAGTTATCATCAATCTTTCCTTTTTTGCCAATATGATGGAACAAAATTATATCCAGCTGTAATTTACACTTTTTAATTACACATATGGTTTAAGGTTTTTTCATGTTTAATCATTTTTATTTATTCCCTTACAATTTGGTCATTAACTTTGTGTTTAAAAGCTGGTTCACATTTCTCTAAATGAACTTGAGGAACATATATGAAGTTTCCCCAAAAATCTATAGAATTTTGGTTGTTATTAAATTTATTTCAGAAAAATTAACATTTTAACAATGCTATCATTATTATTATATAGTAGTTATTGTTATCACTATTATATAGTATTATTATTAAATAATATATAGTAGTATATTTCTGTCAGTTTTTGCTAGAAATACACATTGAACTTTATTAAGTCTTTAAATAATCTTTTGTGTCCGCTCTGTTTTGTCATGTAGTTTGATAGCCTGATCTTTAATATGTGTCATGGTAGAAACGTTAAACCCTCAGTTAAAAGTAAACAGTCCTCTGAGAATTTATATAAAATCTTTTTGCTAAAAATTTGAAATTACACTTACTAAGAATGAAAAACTGTGAAACTACAATAAGAAAATTCAACAAATAACAGAAGTTGGAAAATGCTAGGTGGAAACACCATCAGTTATCATCTGTGAATTGCTTTCTGAAGCACAAAATAAAGAAATTGGTACCAAAAGTGAAATGAAAAGTCTCAAAAATGTTATCTATCTTTTTAGTCACTACCTAGGATTGTTTTTATTTCTTTTTGAATTTTGAATATTCTATAAACTTTAAGAAAATACACCATGACTTTCTCTCAAATGGGTCACACGTCATTAAAATAAAGATAACTTAGAACATAAAACATAGTAAAGAAATTACTCTTAAAATGAGTGATCACAGTTCTTTTCACATTATTGAAACACATACAAATACCAACCAAAAAAAGCAAAGATCATATATATGATTGAACCAATGTTAAATTCATAATGAAAAGTGGCCAAAGAAAATTTAGTGCACGCAAGTAATACTGTAATTTAGTGGCACAAAATCTTATCAGTATATTACTTAAAATTAGAGCAAAGCAAATAACATTACATGGCTCTTGCTCCATCTTAAGAAGTCTGAATTCCCACTTTGCATGGGAGCCTGAGATCTTACCATCAAGGAATTCTGCTGCTTCGCAGGCTGACTGTGGACCCCATTTGTTCTTTTCTTCTGATTAGGCGTATCTTGATACTGTTTTCTGCCATTTCCCCTCATGTTTTGATTCTATTTTGGAAATAAAATAAAGTATATAATATATAACTCAAAAGAATATAACTCTATGGATATGTTTAGCTGGTTGAATCAGAATTTAACAAAGCTCACAAAAATCTTCTTAATACACAAAGGAACCACACCACATCAATATTTTTCCTTATACAATGGATTGAATAGTGCTCCCCCACCCTCCCAATTGCGTCAATTTTTCACTGTCATCAAATCGATTAAGACTCAACAGTGACACTATAGGGCAGGGTAGAAAGCTCCTATGGGTTTCCAAGACTGTAACTCTTTACAGGAATAGAGAGCCTCATCTTTCACCCGCAAAGTGGCTGGTTGCTTTGAACTACTAACCTGGTGGTTAGCAGCCTAATGCATAACCACTACACCACCAGGGTTTCTTCTGTGTTAACTTATCCAATGTAATATAGATCATAATCTCAATAATGTTAAAACTAAACAAGAAAAAATCAAACTCAATGACATAAAGAGTTGATTCCAACTCATAAAAACCCTAAGGTAGAGAGGTCTGAGAGGCTGGCCCCAACCCCAACTACTAGGACAGTCGCCCCTCACCCCAGAATTTACTTCAGAGGACAGCACTAAAGCTACAGTGCAGGGAGAGGGACATGTCTGATCAGAGCACACAGGAGCAAATGAAGGGGGAGGAAGAGAGTGGAGCACATCCTGGCCCACCAAGCCTTGAGGACGATATCCCCGCACAGAGCAGCCAATGCACAGAGGACTCGATGGCCAGCCCCACTACGAGACCAGACATCCCTAACTGACCCATAGCCCTACGTGGGACACTGGAGACTGGGAATTGCACCCGATATGACCCCACCATGCCGAGGCAAAACACTGAGGGCGTGCAACAGAACAGCAAGGGGAGCAGAGCAAGAAAATCCCCTGGGAATACCAAAAATAGACTTTAGGGTCAAGGTGTGCCACCCCATCAGACTCAACCAGAAAACACTCCTAAAGGTCAATAAACAGACCTAAACTATTCACGGACTTTTCTTTTATTGTTGGTGTTTTTGTTGTTTTGTTTTCTTTTGTTGATTTATTTTACTCTGTCTTGTTTTTGTGCTTATTATTATCTCTGCAGGTCTATCTATATAAAACAGGCTGGATAAACAATCTGGAGGAGAAAACAATGGGACCAACAGTTCTGGGGGGATATGGAAGAGGGAGAGGCAGGGCAAAGGAACTGGGTGTTAAACCCAGGGACAAGGGAATAACAAGTGATCCAAAATTGGTGGCGAGGAGGGTGTAGAAGGCCTGGTAGGGGTTGATCAAGGGCAATGTAACCAAGAGGAATTACTGAAACCCAAATGAAGGCCGAGCATCATAGTGAGACAAGAGGAAAGTAAAAGGAAAGAAGGAAAGAACTAGGAAGCAAAGGGCATTTATAGAGGTATAAGTACAGGCATGTACATATGTAAATATGTAAATATATTTATATATGACAATGGGGAAATTGATCTATCTACATATTTTTATAGGTTTAGTATTAAGGTAGCAGATGGACATTGGGCCTCCACTCACGTACTCCCTCAATGCAAGAACAGTTTGTTTTATTAAACTGGCACTGCATGATGCTCACCTTCCTGACATGATCACTGAAGACAAAGCGGGTATATAAGCAAATGTTGTGAAGATAGCTGATGGTGCCCGGCCATCAAGAGATATAGCATCTGGGGTCTTAAAGGCTTGAAGATAAAGTGGCCATCTAGCTCCGAAGCAACAAAGTCCACATGGAAGAAGCACACCAGCCTGTATGATCATGAGGTGTAGATGGGATCAGGTATCAGGCATCAAAGAACAAAAAATCATATCACTATGAATGAGAGGGAGTGGGGAGTGGGACCCAAAGCCCATCTGTAGGCAACTGGACACCCCCTTACTGAAGGATCGCAGGGAGGATACGAGCCAGTCAGGGTGCAATGGAGCAACAATGAAACATGCAACTTTCCTCTAGTTCTTTAATGCTTTCCCCCCTGCCACCCCCAACCCCCACTATCATGATCCCAATTCTACCTTACGAATTTGGCTAAACCAGAGGATGTACACTTACTGATAGAAACTGGAAACACAGGGAATCCAGGGCAGATGAAACCCTCAGGACCAGTGGTGAGAGTGGCGATACTGGGAGGGTGGAGGGAAGGTAGGGTAGAAAGGGGGAACGGATCACAAGGATCTACATATAACCCCCTCCCTGGGGGACAACAGAAAAATGGGTAAACGGAGACATTGGACAGTGTAAGACATGATAAAATAATAAAAATTTATAAATTATCAAGGGGGAGGAAGGAAAGGGGGAAAATGAGGAGCTAACACCAAGGGCTCAAGTAGAAAGCAAATGTTTTGAGAATGATGAGGGAAACAAATGTACAAATGTGCTTGACACAATGGCCGGATGTATGGATTGTGCTAAGAGTTGTACGAACCTCCAATAAAATGACTGAAAACAAAAAACAAACAATAAAAAACCTTATAGAACAAAACAGAACTGCCATTGTGTGTTTCCAAGACTATAAATCCTTACAGGAGTAGAACGTCTCCTCTTTCTCTCATGGAGCCACTGGTGGTTTCGAACTGCTGACATTGAGATTAGAAGCCTAACTATATCACTAGGACTTCTTCTGTGATGTTAATAAGGCTGAATTAGTGGCAGTTAATGAGGCAAGATGCAATTATCAGAATTATGTAGTCTCTTGTGTTAATCACTTTTGAAATACAAAAATGACTAAATAACTGAGCAGAGACCAAGAACTACTACCAAGACAGGAGAGCTGTGAGTGGAGAATATCCTTTGGATCCAGGGTCCATGCACTAAACCCAGGGGAAGATTGATAACAAAGATCTTCTGTAAGAGGTGACAGAGACAAAGCCTTCCCTCGCCTACAGCCATTGCCATAAATCTGGACGTCTAGCATCCAAACTGAAGAGTAAAGACTACAACCTCCAATATGGATTACACTTCAAACATACAGAAAACAAAAACCTGGCAAACAGTCATGACAATCTCTGGAGTGGTTTGCAGGATAGCTGGCCTGGGCACTTCAAAGATTCAATAAGAAAGCACAGAGACTGCTCTAGACTGAAGTCTAGCCTACTAAGGAAGCATGACAACCAAATACAAGGCTTTAACTCTGACTCAAAATGACATTCTGGAAACTAAGAACTTCAATTATTGACTATATATTGGATGATAATATTGTGGTTGTTTCGAAAATAAAAATGTCTTTGTGGAAGGAAAAAAGTACACTGCGAAAAGCAAAAAGAAAATTAAAGTTTATAATACACTTTATTTTCATAACAAAAACCAACAGAACTTAATTTGGAAGATATTTTCCTCGTGATTTTTGTTTGTTTCTTAAGTGTATTCTCCATCAGCCACATTTACATCAAAGTCAGATGTTAACTTCTATTGTTCTTTACCCTGGATTTATATGAAAACTACAAGGTTAAAGAATCTCAGCCCTGCTTCAAACCACAAGTGAGAAACACAAAAGTCTTTACTGAACAATTCAAAACTCTGTAAACTATTAATTTGCTTATATAGTTAAAAATAAGGGGTGGGGGGAAAACAATAAGGAAATTTCTCAATTCATCTGCCAAAGGATCTCATGGTCTGAATTTTTAAAATTATGTTACTCACCTTTGATTTTAAGAGGTCAGACATTTCAGAGTGATTATTATATGGCTTCTGTTGCAGTGGTTGCCTGTGCTTTATCCACTGGTCACCAGGAGAGCCTTCAGGGAATAACTGCTGGCTATGGCGGAATTTGGTTCGGCTAAACCAAGATAAAACAAGATCAAGAAAAATTTCACCAATAGTTCTTTTAATATCTTGATAGCTTATCAAAGGTACTATGTATTTTACTTGCATGTTTACTGTCTATCCTCTTATAATGGAATACTTTGCCTGTTACTTAATCACTCACACCCCAAAGAGAGCCTGGTGCTGTGTTAGGTGCAGTTATGGCTCGTAGCTAGCCTGTGGACAACAGAGCCAAACACTGAAAGTCTGGTAATCAAAAGTTTGTTGAATGAATTAATAACATTATTTTTTTAATTCCTATTGGCTTTTTCCAAATTATTCATACTACTTCTTCCTGGTTACTCCGTGGGCTGCTAACTAAAAGGCCAGCAGTTTGAAACCACCAGTCACTCCTTGGGAGAAAGACAGGGCTTTCTACTCCGTTACAGTCTTGCAAACTCACAGGAGCATACCCTATCCCATAGGGTTTCTATAAGTCAGCATCAATTTGATGGTAATGACTGACTACTTTTATTCTTCCTTAAAAGTGATTACATGCTTTAAATCTAAAGGAGGTAAATTTTTTTTTAAGTTAGTTGACACAAATAAATGTAGATGGATGGATTTTCCTTCTTAATGGAACAGACACCACATTCTTACTATGACGCTTGAAGCATGGGATTTGATCCTACATAGGTCAGTTATGGATCACATCCATTCTTAAAGAGGATTTGGAAATGACGTGATAGTCTAAAGCAAAAAATTAGAAATCCAAGACAATGGGATAAAACAATTGAATAAAGACCTGGTCTAAAAGACTCATGCAAAACAGAACCTAAAAGGTTGTGCTTATGCATTATTTAGGGTAAGAACTCTCATTATATAGTACTACTTACATGTAAGCAGAGCCCAGACTCTTGCTACATTGACAAGTAAGTGATACAGGTAAATGATCCCAAGGATCAGATTCTAAAAAGACTATTTCAGTATAATTTCTTCCCCTTTCACATTGAGAAAATAAAATTAATTACCTTTTCTTTAGATTAAATTCAGACATTGCTTCCAACACACCATCACAAACATCAGAAAAACAAAAAACCCCACCATCCTACATAAGAAAGTGAAGACTTGGTTCAGGAGGCTGCTTTAGTATCTCTTTATTCTACTCTCCAAAACATAAACACTCCATTTATTTCTCCAAATACTGTATCACTACCTTATAACTTTACAGCAGTGGCCATAATTTCTTTTTAATCTTGGCTATATTTTTATCTCCCTAACCTTTTCTACATTGCTTGACTTATGTTTCCAAACTAACCAAACACATTGCCATCAAGTCAGTTGTGACTCATGCCAACCCATAGGGCAGCATCAAACTGTCCCTGGGTTTCCAAGACTGTGTATCTTTACAGGTGCAGAAAGCCTCATCTTTCTCGGGAAGAGCAGTTAGTAGATTCTAACTGCTGACTCTGCATTTAGCAGCCCAGCATATAATGCCACCAGAGCGCCTTCACTTAAGTTTAGTAGTGTACAATTTGGTAATTATAATAAAAGATTCAGAGAGGCATTTAACTGAAAATCCGGTCTTCATAATACCTGACTAAAATGGAATGCTACCTATTTAACAAGGATTGATTGTGGATGTGGCTTACTCCAGTAAACTGAAATTTGAAACATCAAGATAAAAACAGACATCCAAATGAGAGAAAACAAAAAATTAACTCTTTGCTAACATTACTACAGCCAAGTTCAAGAAAGCTTATTACAATAACATATTCTTATTTAATGTAGTTATTTCCTCAGTCTACTCTGTAACTGTGATTTGGATACAGTAGGTCGTAATAAAGAAAATGTGCTTTGCAGTTCACACCCATATAATAGTTACTCTTTATAAAGCACCCACAGGGCAAGAGTGGCCCAGTAGCACAATTGTGCTCAGTCTGTTCAAGAGACTTAGGTCTACTCAGCCAATGCATCTCATGCTTAGTCATCCCATCAGTAAAGACTTGCATGCTGCCAGGATGCTGAGTAGGTTTCAGTGGAACTTTTAGGACTAAGAAAAACTAAGAAGAGAGGCTCGCCATTTTACTCCCCAAAATCAGTCAATGAAAGCCCTACGGATAAAATGGTCCAATACAAACTAATCCTGGAGCTATGCAGGACTAAGCAATGTTTCCTTTCATTGTGCACAGGGGATCTGTGTGTTAGGGACCAACTTCACAGTCATTAACCACATAGTGCACACTTTATGCTAAAGAAAGTAAATTAAAACCAAAACAACCCCAAATCTTCACAGCTCCATCATTTTTACTTTAACAATTTTACATTAGTACTCATCTGTAGTCAAAATCATACCTCAGTATATCCACATCACTCCTTCAGAGAAACTCAATTACCTCTCAAATAGAATATGAGAAGAGATAGAAAATAAAATTAAAGCATATCCATTTACCCACAATTAGCTCTCTTTTTTTCTAGTGTTCTATATATATCCTCTAAGATATGTGCAGTCTCTTGAAAATACTATTCTTAAATATGTCTGAAGCCCCTGTCTTCCACTTCACTAACCTTTTCCATCTCATCTAAATTCTGGTTAAAGGACAGCGGAGAGACACACACAAAAACAATTCTATGTTCTATTAGCCAGCAACTAAATAGTTACTACCGATACAAAGAAATTCTGTATTTCTGTAAACTTTAGAAACAAAATGCTACTGTAGGGTTAAAAACTATCAGAAAGTCAAGGTTCTATAAATATTTTACCTTAATTTTTCCACAGTGGGCTTTGCTGGTGTGCTGCCAGCTGAGGAAAATCCATTGTCACTGTCTGAAGAATCTCCAAATCTTCGAGAAAGCCAGTCTCTTAATGGTCTGGAAACATTAATAATTCACTTTTTCAGCTTGACTTTACAAAGAGAATAATTACCAAAATCAGGATTAGTTTTAAATTAAAAACATCTAGATGGATGGACGGACGGATGAATGATGGACAGATGGATATAGATATGAACATACCTGATAAATGGAATGGCCATAAAAAATTTGTTAGGTGCCAAACCAAGTTTGGATTTTGGAGTCATATCATTTCTATGACAGGGTAATTTCTCAATGGAGAACCACTCAATGTTCTGAAATATAAAGGAAAAATCTTTGACTTAATTATTATTAAGGCATTTCAAAAACAATTTCCTATGTCATCCCCTTGGGATACTGTCCAACAAAGTTGCAAATACTTTTTTCATTGTTACATACCCGAATTTCTCTTCTAGTTTTCGGGTTGAATTTTGTGTCCTTTGGAACTCCTGGAATAATGTATAAACGAGCAAGCTGATCATTGATTCGAAGTTCAATGTAATCATCCTTGCAAATATAGTCTTTGATATCAAAACCAGTTTCTTCAAAAACCTGGAAATAACAAATTTGGAATTTGGATTCAAAAGTTTGATTGCAACTGTTTAACCTCCTATTAAACTTTATTTTGAAGCCAAAAATGTTGAAATGTCCAGGTGTGAAAACACTAGACAGGGAGGGAGTCAGAGGATTTCAGGTTCTAGTTCTGGCTCTGTCATTACCTGTCTGACAATGAAAAACTGTTCTGTTACCTACCGATGAAAAGCCTTAGTTTTATCATCTATTAAACAAAAGCAGGTGTTGGAATAAGCAGTGGTTCTCAATCTCTAGAAAGTACATCACTGGAGACATATGAATTTACTTAAAAGTCCACGAATGAAAAAAATATATATATAGATATATATACTAAGCTATAAACTAAAAAACATTCTGCACATATACAACTATTTTTTACCCCTGTGAAAACTGGATTAAAGTATTATGTACTTAAATGGATAGATTCTAAAAGTACAGCTATAACCAAATTTGTGTATATGTGTATGGGGGAGGCAGAAGAGTTGTACCAAAGAAATAATGCCTACTGACTGGAAGAATGCTTCTATAACGACCCTCCCTTTGCAGTACTTCACTGGGGGAGGGGAGTTGTGTGAGGAAAAGAAACCAAACAAAGAAATTCACAGGTATCCAGTCGATTCGGACTTCTAGTGACCCGATAAGATAGAGCAGAACCGCCCCTGTGGGTTTGAGGCTGTAAATCTTTATGGGACCCATCACAGCAACTAGTAGTAGGATTGAACTACTGACCTTGCAATTAGCAGCCCAATGCATAATCCACTACACATAATGCCTTGAGGAAGAGGAAAGGTTTACAAAAAATGGGGACTTTTAAATAGAAAAGCCACACTTAATCTGATTAACATACTGGGCTTCTATTTAAAAGTAAAAGCAATCTGTATCTTCCAAGCCTTAAAATTTTCCTTATAGTAACTTTTCATTGTTGTTGCTGTGGAGCATAAATACAGAGCCAAACACACACTAATTCAACTGGTTTTAAATGCACCACTCGGGACACTGAGCTGTGCAACTATTCTCACCCTCATTTTCTGATATGTTCCTTCCAATTAACATAAATTCACTGCAATCTTTCCAGCTGCTATTACCTATTTGATCCAATATACTCAGGCCATTGAGTCAATTCCAACTCAGAGCAACCCTATAGGATAATGAACTGCTACATATTTTCCAAGGCTGTAAATCTTCGCAGAATCACACTATCTGAACTTTCTCCCACAGAGTGGCTGGTGGATCCAACCACCAATCTTTCAGTTAAGCAGCCCACCCAATGCCAATGAGGTGATTCTGACTCATAGCAACCTTATATAAAAGTTTCATACCCTATAAATCTTTAGGGGAACAGATAGCCTTAACTTTCTCCCACAGATGAACTAGAGGGTTTGAACCACAGAGGGTATAACTTATAGTTAGCACTCTAACACTTTCCCTACCATGACACCAGGGTTCATTTCAAATAGAGTACAGATCCTATATAGTTCTTAAGAGGGCACAATACTCAAAGCAAACATTTTTTACAAGTTAAAATAAACTATTGTTTGTTTTTATGATGACTTCGGGGGACATTTTCAGCTTAAGGCTTACAGATTATTTCGAGGCAGTAATTTTGGTTCATCCAACCTTCATGCCTTCGGGATTTCTAGAGTCCATGAGAATTTGAAGTTCTGTATTTCCCCCTACTGATCAGGATTCTTCTATGGAGTCTTTGATTAAAATGTTCAGTAACGATAGCCTGGCACTGCCTTGTTCTGGTGCCATGGCAAAGGAGGTAGTTTATACATGGAGGCAATTAGTCACACATTTCATATCCTCCTCATCCTCCTGACTTCCCTCTCCAATCACTGTGCCTTAAATGCCTGCTTTAAGACCCTATGCACTACAAACTCACATACATCGAGTCACTGTCAACTCATAGCAAACCCTAGAAGAGAGGGTAGAATTGCCCTTGTGAGTTTCCAAAACTATAAACTCGGTACAAGATTATTGAAAGTCCCATCTTCCTCCCAAGGGTCAGCTGGTGGTTTCAAACTCCTAACCTTGCAGTTAGCAGCCCAATTCATAACCTATACACCACACAATAGAATATGTAATGAAATCATTAATTATGTTTAATGACTCATGCATATTATCTGTCTAAGCTTTCCCATTACAGCAAAAATCTTATGTTCAGATACTGTGGATTCCTTCTTTTCAAACCAAGCCTTCTTTTTAACCCCACTGTTGGAGACAGATCTTAAAAATGTTTTTGATAAAAACAAACAAATCTTGATGGGTTATTACAGATTCATAAATGAAATCCTTAGAAGTGGCTTACTTAAATGTTCATATATAAATGATATATGAACTTGCTTCTCTTTATTAAGATACCATTAAGGGAATCAAAAGTAGGCATTCACAAAAAAAAAAGTTATATCCAGAATGCGTTAAATTCCCGTATATCAGTAAGTAATCTGATCTTTAAAAACATAAGAAGCATGTGACCTAGTACTCAAATAATTTTCTAATGTTAAATAGTGATAAGTAGCTCAACATCATCAGATTTCAATAAAATGTCAACTAAAATTACAATGAGCTATTTCATACTCCTACCAGATGTTGAAAGTTTTATAAATTGATTAATTCCACGAGTAACCTAGGATAGGGCACAACTAGCACTCTCATGCACTGCGGGTGGGAATATGAATTGGTACTACTTGGGAAGCTGTTCACAGATATACAGGTTATCTATGATACCGAATTATACTTCTAGAGAACCAGGGCTTATTTCCTACAACAGACATGAACAAGAACATTCACAACTATATTCATAATAACCAAAATATAGGAAAAAATGCAATGCATAAGAAAACTGTGAGGTTCCAGTCCATACATATAAGCACAAGGTTATTCCAAACTAACTGTGTTTAAACATGTCCTTGTAATAAGTGGATAGCTGCAGACAAGTCCTTTCAGTAATATAAGAGGGCTTTCAGAAGTTCATGAAAAAAATTGGAATTAAAAGACAATAGAAGATTTCTACAAACCACTTGAAACTTTTTTGTAACAGCAATGTGCTTATCTGTTTACTAACTGGTAGGTAGGTTCTATGAAGCGTCTAACACAGCTTGAGGCAGAGGTGTTGCGAGTTGAGATATAGCACCTTAGGGGTTCACAGACTTTTTTCCTATTCTGCTAGTTACAACTCCAACTAGGACTTGAAACATAGTAAATAGTTTTTCATCTAAAGAAGAAAGGAGAGTCCAGATAAATAGCTGAGAAAGGCCATAGCTAAAGAATTATACAGGAGGAAGTAGTACAATATCAGGCAGAAGGAAGAGAGCAAATAACACTACGACAGGGAGACCCTATCACCCTATAGCCAAGCTTAGAACAAATGGGATTAAAAGCAACAGATATAACCTCTCAATTCTAAAAATAAAAGAGATACACCAGCCTCTACATTTACTTTTCCACTCTCGTTAAATAATTACCAGGAAAGTCTTACCAACTCACTTATCTGTGCAAGCACCAAGGACAAAAATTTCATTTCCACGTCTATGTGAACCACATCTATTCCTATAATATAGTTAATTAGCCTGTCATATGGAACAACATTAACTTTAAATATGATCTCAGATGATATTTCCCACATAAGATTTTTTAAATGTTTATTCAAAGAGTACTAATACAGACAAAAAATAAAGTCTTTTGCCTATTATCTATGTCCAAATGCCTATAGGAAAGTAGATTGAATTGACCAATAGTTCCTATGTCCACATTCTATTAAGTTTTGTAAGGGTCTATCAGTCAGCATCATTCCTACAAAATATACTGTTTGGCTAACTAATAAGGAATAATAAGAAATTTTAATCTCATGAGTAAACTGCCAAGCTGGTGTTTCAATGGCAAAATCACTACAAAATGATTCGATAACATTTTAATGACAATTTTAAAAGGTTGTCCTAACACATGTGTGCTAGTTACATAAACGGGTGTCAATTTGGGACTTGAGAGGATGAATAGTGAAGGGTAGAGTCTAGTCTGTCAATCAGGTCATAGCCAATGAACCCTCTGTGTGGGCATGGCCTTCTCCTGAGGATTCTAGGAACTCCTGGTTTTCCTCCTTGGAGGCAGGGAACACTCTTCTGTCTACTCACTCCCTGAGAGATGCTCTACTGACAAAATACATGGCTCTACGCTGATAGACCCTGTGCCTGGGACCTATCCCAGAAGCTACGTGGAGACCCCTGCCAGTGCTGAGATGCTTGCAACACCACTGGATCCAAAGACTTTCTACCCACTGGCCTGTGATTGTCCTGCACTCGGGGTCATTGCATGTGTTTTGTTAGTTTGAGGAGGACTTTATAGATTGGTGTGGAACATATGGGCTAACATTGGACTTACAGGCTTGGCCCGGGATGGGATATTTTCTCAATATTCAACTGCTCTTGTATATAAAGCTCTTTCTTATACACATAGGAGTGCCTATGAATTTGTTTCTCTAGTCCACCCAGACTAATACAACATGCTTTCAACAACAGCTAGATAATATTTTATACCAAATTGTCCAAAATGTCCTTCACTGAGTAAAATCGATGTTAAGCAATCAAATTAATACAGGTGAAACAAAGGGTCAAAAAGACTGGGGATGACTAATTAGAGTGGTCCTACACCTTCTCCCAGATAAGCTTGCTTTGCCACTTCTTTTAGCACAGCCCACACACAAAGGATGAGTCAAATTCAGCTAGAGTATGTATTACAAAAACACCTCTGGATTAGCATATATAATGAAATGAAAACATTATGTAACTGTAGAGATGCAATAATAAGCCAAATAGGAATGTTAACAGCTTTAAATAAGAAAAACAGGATAAAACTCCATAACTTAAACGTATGAGAAGTACTCATACATCAGTCTCTAAGTCTCATCAGCAGCTAAATATTTAGGACAGAATATCTCTTTATATGTCAACACAAGTCAAAATTGAAAACAATAAGATATT